AAGACTATATATCGATGCTTTTAATGATTTATTCTCGCTCAACATATCTCGTCATCTTAATGTCCACTGTTATTGTATCAAAACCGTAGTTTTTGTTTTCACCATAGCCAACCTCGAATTGTATAATATCACCATAATTTAAACGTAAACCTCTTCGAAAAAATCCTCCGCTACTTCGATTAATTGTCATGGATGCTAATGTAACATTGTTAATTGATAGATGTACATCAACTGTGGCATAACCATTGCTAAGAGGACCATTTAGAAACAATGAAGGCCCTTGTGAAATAAATGAAGCATCAATATCATAGATTTCGTCAGTATTTTGCATTGTATAACGAACGCATGCGCGATTACCATTTCGCGCCGGATGCATTGTCATGTGACCTTGAGGCACATAGAACTCATTAAAGTATTCAAGTGAGTTTGTTCGTGCCATACCAATGCAACCGTCATCCCACCAAGAAGCAAGACTATTTCTAGTATAATAAATTGCATAACCATTCATTTTTATATTTTGATACAATCCAGCAGCATACGAGTCATGCATGCCATTAGGCATATAATCGCTATACAGTTGAAAACTGAGATGATCATTGGGTTTGACAAAGCCAAATGACCATCGCGAATTCGGATTTGTTCCATTAAAATATTCTGTTGGGTTTTCGATGACTAAAGATTGAACATAAATAATAGAAGTGCATAGTAACAGGAGTATTACAAAAAACAAGAAATGATAAGACTTTTTTTGAAGCTTTCCTAAAATTCGTTTATTTTTATCATTTTGAAATAAACTATGATCCCTAATTACGTTTTTCAAGTTTATTTCACAAAACACAGGCATTGAAAATATATTTGTGTCGACGGTGTTCCAAAGATATCGTCAAAAAATTCTTTTTTCTGCAGTTACAATCAGATGCGCTTTTAGAATCAGGACTTCAGACTACGAATACCGCAATGAGAGCTTGGAAAATGAGGTATACTTGAATTTCCTAAGAAAGAAATTATGAAAGTTTCCATGAAGTTCAAAAACGCGTAAACTGAGGAAAGTATTTTCAGAAATCTAAAGGATGCATAGTAATTTTAGAAATTTCAAAAGCCAGCGACTTTTTCGAGGTAAGAGAGATTTCGAAGGCATCATCTTCAAAACATCCGAATTGGCCGTAATTTTCTTTTCTCAAAACGTGAGCACTGCTGCTTAAAACTTGGTTGTTTGTTGCATAGCCAGAGCCACTGCATTTGTCTTAACAGTTTTTGTTTGGTTCATCATAGAATAAGCATCCGTTTGAAGTTAGCAAGAGGTGTTTTATCTATCGCTAATTTCTGAGCGTTTCATTAATCTGATCTTTTAACACGAAAAAGTTTGAACTTTAAAAAGAATGATCAAATGAAGAACGTCGTGGGGCGTAGCATCCCTCGAAGGTTTGAAATATGTATGTAATCATTATAAAATATAAGCTAAATTTGTTGCTGCATTCTCTAAACTTGAGTCAAGTGACTTCCATAACTGTAGAATCTGCATCTAAAATGAACAATTCTCCGAACAGCAAAATGTTCAAGAAAAATTATCCATACTATAAAATTCAATTAAAGATTCTTTTAAAAAAGTGTCAAATTTTTTTCATTACACGAATTAAGTGCTAATTTCACCTATGTTTCAGATATTGTTTTCGATTGGTTCAAAGTAGCTTTAATATTTTCAACTGCTTAAGTAAATACATTCGCCGTTTTGTTTAGAATTTACTTGTGTATCTGATGGCGCGAGAATTAGAATTTTGTATGATAAGTCTGACTTGTGATAAGATAATGTTTTATAATGCACTCAAAACTATGCGAAGTGTTAAAAATTTCTCAACGATAGAAAATAAAAATGCGGCATGTACTATGGGGCAATCATTATTTTCAAAAATTTTTCTCAGATACTAACAAGTATCTTAAATTTTTTCGGAATGATGATGTGTACATGCGAATAGATTCTGCATCTCTGGCCACGTCTTCAATAGTTATACCAAATGGAGAGGTGTACATGGGGTTGTGACTGAGACTTGGCAAGAGTCTTCAAGGTATCCACAACTAGACTCATACCCACATCCTCATGAGATGCTGTCTTTAACTTTTAACAAAATTTCTACTGATACACAGTCAGAGCATCATTTTTATGATATTTTCAATACTTTCACAAAGGCTATACTGGAAAAAAAATAGTACGTATTTTTTATCACTGCAACAGTAAGAAGTATCCCAAGACCATCAGACATGGAGAAGGAGATGGTTGATGACTCAGAAAACCATTTCAAACATTTTGGCTAAAATTAATTAGAGTTTTAGAAAAGCAAGTATGTTTTATGAGTATTGATGAGTAAGAAAACGAGTATAACTCTGCAAATTTGGTTATGAAAAACGAAAATTTTTCAAGATTGAAGGATCATTCTCCGAACCTCTTTCTTTCCTGACTTGGGACACCCCGGCTTATCGTGTAGACAAGAATTTATAATTTTCAGTTTCTATATCTCAAACAAAAGATCTAATCAAACTGTACATAAATACAAACTATTGGACAATTTGATTTTCTTCACACTGAACATGGTAAGAAATTTAAATTTTAGGTCTATGTTAGACTCTAAAATACTGAACAAATAGATATGTTGTAGTATGTGGAGGATTTTTTCGAGAACTATGATGCCTTTTAGAGTAGAAACCATTTTAAATTCGAGAGGTTGCTCTGGCTGTCAAATCATAGTATCTGATCGACTACTACACAGTCACACATACATTCCAGACAAAGAAAAAATCACTTTCAGAAGAGTGCTATATTATTCGTAATGTTTTATATGCATGATGTGGTAATTAGTAAAGTATTACGATTTAGTAGCCTAGAAAAATCTTTTTAATATGAAATGACTTCTAGCTGCAACATTTCAATCATCCTAAAAATATTCTCAAAATACTGCCACGTATCTGTTGTTTTCCTTGTTTTTAGAGTCTAAAGTAAACCAAAAATCTGTATTCCTGACTATGTTGGATGCAGAGAAAATCAAACCGTCCCATGCTATGTATTTGACTATAGTTTAGCTAGATCTTGGATGTAAGATATAGAAACGAAAAAAAATGATGTTTTGATTACGCGATACCAGTTGATCCTCTCTTGAATCACTTCTAGAAGATAAAAGAAAACGGGTTATTTCGTTTTAGAGAAACA